AGATAGTTAACGATTCTAAACCTACTGAATACAAATATAAACTTTGACAATAATCGGTAAAGCCGTTTCGGATAAATGCTCCTGTATAAGTCACAGTCTAACGCATTTGCGAATAATTCTGTACGACATTTTCACTTATACTGTGCTTAGCTTGGCGGCATTTATAAGAACTAAAATGATTGTTGTTAAATTGAGGAGGCTACATTTTAATATATCTCGTTTTATATTTTTGGACCGGTTCGATTTTTCATTTGTTTATAACTTCTAAACAAATTGTCGATTGTTTTTGCAATATCCAGCAAATTTTTAGCCAATTAAATTATCTACAACTTTGTTAATAACAAAATGTTGTATCTCATATCCTTTTACCCAAAATTTGCATGAAACAGGTTGTTAAATTTTGGAGTTGCATCAGTATATCTTGCATCACACTATTGGACCAGCTCGATTTTTATTTATTTATTTATAACTTCAAAACGAAATGTCCCACCATTTTGCAATGTTCAGCAAATTTATAGCCAATTAAATTATCTACAATTTTTATTAACAACAAAAATTGGTATCTTCTCCTTTTATCACAAATTTACATTTAAAAAGGTAGTTGCTAAATTTTGGAGGTTACATCATACTCATGTATCTTACTCTATCACTCTACACTGTTAGGTATATGTTGCTCTTTTTAGCACTAGTGTTTTATATATATCTTTCTTTCATTTTCTCACTATATACTGTTGTCTCTTTTACGTTTAATCAAAACAGACTCTATTTCACATCGCGACTTAAGAAGTTTTACTTCAAAAATAAAATTCTACTATTTAACTAATTTATACATCTCCAACCTAAGAAGTTGAATTCAAATGTAAATCATAAATAAATCAATTTATCTCCAGAACATTAACAATCGTCATTTCATTTCGAATTCAATTTCAAAAAAAAAAATTGTTGCCTAATTTACACAAAATAGAAAAAGTGCTCCCGTACAGTCACAGTCTAAACAGCATTTGCAAATAATTCTGTTCTACATTTTCACTTATACTGTGCTTAGCTTGGCGGCATTTTCACATTTTTCAATAATTTTCACAAAATTGGAAAAGTGCTCCAGTACACAAACAGTCTAAACGCACTTGGGTAAGCATTTGTACCAGAGTGGCGCTTAGAATGTGCTTGGCAAGGGTAATTTTTTGAATTTTTAACCCAAAATTACAAAAATATTTTATGGAAAATAAACAAAGATGTAATAATTTTTTATCCTCAAAAGCACATCTAACATGAATTTAGTTTCTGAGGTATGCCCTTTAAAAATGTTCAGAAACCTTCAAAACGTCGAGAAATGCAAAAATTTCATTTTTGATTTTCGGCCCATTACTATAACTACCCTACGGGAAGTTAAAAAAATATCACTTACCGCTCTCCAAATTCATCAAATTAACATACATCCTATTCCTGGACAAGCAGACAACATGTCCATTATCATGAAGACCATAAAAGGGCATCTTTTGATTCATGACTCCCTTAAGTTTGACCAACGATGACCCCAAATCCAAATTAAACAACCTCAATTCACGTCCACAAAGAACTATGCATCTGGTGCTATCAACTGGACATAAAGAAAGGGGCTGGGTGATGCCAGTTAGGGTCCTGACTCGCTTACACCTAAAAGATAAATAATAATAATAATAATTGTAGTAAAATTGGAATTGAAAAAAGATTCTTTTATTCTTTACCTGGATACGTCCCAAACACAAATCTCCTCCCGCTCTGTCGACAAACTGGTGACATAACCAGTATCACCATTCCCCAATCTTTGCAAAGCAGTAAAACCAACAGCAACTTTAGTGTCATCATCACGATGCACTAAATCATCCAAATTCTGCACCACCAAAGTGCAAACCGGTGGTTTCTTACAAGCCTCGTACCAACTCTGCACAACGTTATTAGAAAACTTTCTCTTGATCTCTACTTGACCATGATGGACTCCATTCATCTTGCTAAAATCTTGTTTGCTTTCAAAATAAATGTCGAGTAGGGAATAAAGTTGTCTGGTGTCGTAATCCAGTTGTTTTTTGTTTAGTGTTAGAAAGTCTCGGAGGATTGTCAGATGTTGGTTGGACGATGAGGAGTTGACCAGGTCTAAGTCGTCCAGGAGAGCTGATGTTTGGCAGCTCAACAGTTTCTTGTAAATCCATTCGTGGGTGGTGAGATAATCGGAGTTTATAAAGTTTTCCATACCTTGTAGATGATAATGGTGATAGGGTAGTTCTAAATGTTTTCTACTAATGAATCTGGAAATTAAAGAAAAACTAGTTGGTATTGGTATTTTGCCTTGAGGCATGTTGCATGAACTTCCCGACATGTGTAACAATTGACTTAATCAATCGAAATTGGGATTTAGATATTTAGATAAAATTAGTCAACTGTTTTTTTTAAATTAGCTGGTATTGGTATTTTGCCTTGAGGCAAATTACATGAACTTCCAGATATGTGTAAATAATCTACTTAATAAATAAAAAAGAAAGTAATTTACGAGTGATTAAAAGTATTCCAAGTGAATTTATTACACCTAATTGAAAACGAATGAACATGTTAACTCGGTGTATTTTTTAAAAGCAAATTTTCAAAAATCAATAATTTTTATAATTAAGCCAGTTTTTTGTAGGACTTTAATGGTTTAGTATGTTCATTAAGACTAAGTACTCTATCGTTATACCAAGTAAATAGTGTAATTTTAATAGTGTAATTTTAATTTTAACAAACGTCAAACTTTTCTCAAACTTTGATGAATTTTTAAAATTAAACTACTTGCCGTAAGGCCGTAATAATATTTCAGTAAGTTCTATAGACCATGATATATATCGACAAAAAAAGTTCCATAAAAATCCGCCTAAATTTTTTTTCAACAGTTAATTACAAGAAAACGGCTCGGTAGATTTTCACCTAAAACTAATCAGTATTATTCCCAACTAATATCTTTGGAACAGTTTTTTATTTTTTAAAATCGGTTCCGTAGTATGAGCTTAAAAGTGGTCGAAAAGTTTAACACTTTTTTTCAAATTATAAAGAAACGGCTTGGCAGATCATCGCACAAAACTGACAAACCGACTAAAATTGAAAAAGGGAACAGGAACTCTACTGATGAGCAAATTGAAGAGAAATGAAAAAAGAAATAATAAATGAAAGAAGAGCAAAATCAAAATAGAAGAAACTTTACTGATGAGCAAACTAAAGATAACACTAAAAGAGACTCTACTGACGAGCAAAATAAAAATGAAAGATGAAGGGACAATAAGCTAACTAAAAATAAAAAGGGACTCTATTGAAGAGCAAACAAAAAATAAAGGGAAAGGGACTCTACTGAGGAGCAAAGCAAAAATGAAAGAAAAAGACAAGCTAACTACAAATACAAAAGCGACTGTACTGATGAGCAAACCAAAAATTAAGGCAAGCAAGGACTCTATTATCGATCAAACGAAAAATGTAAGAAAGGGGTCTTTACTGATAAGCAAACTAAAAAAAGAAGGAAAAAACTCTACTAACGAGCAAATTAAAAAAAGAAAGAAAGGTCTACTGACAAGCGAATTTAAAATAACACTTAAAGCGACTCTACTGACGAGCAAATTAAAAATACATAAAAAATGGACTTCGCAGAGAGCAAACTAAAAATAAAAGAGAAAAAGAACACTACTGATGAGAGAACTGTATTAAAAGTGATAGAGACTCTATTGACGAGGAAACTAAAGATTGAGATACATCAAATGCCTTTTAAATCTCTAAAATCGGTTCAGGCGTTTTTGAGAAATGGTCGATGAAAGATCTAATTTTGCCAAAAAAACGAGACAATTTTTTTCAAACTTTTTAGACGAATTTTCAAAGTTAAACGAGTTGTCGTAAGGCCGTAATATTTTAGCATGATCTATAAAACCATGATATCTATCACCAAAAAAAGTTTCATAAAAATCGGCATTTTTTTTCAATAGTTAATTACAGGAAAACGACTTCGCCGATCTTTACCAAAAACAAATCAGCACGATTCCCAATCATCTTTCGAACGGTTTTTGAATTTTTAAAAGCGATTAAGAATTGCGGGCTAAAACGTGGACGAAAGATTTTACACTTTTTGCAAAACTGAGAAACGATAGTTCTCATCGAGACACATCAAATGGCTTTTGAATGTTTGAAATCGGTTTAGCCGTTTTCGAGAAAACGTCGATTTACGGTAAAAAATCTGTTATAATCTGTTCACATACTTTTTCCTTATTCGATTCAGAATGGCTTGAAACGTCAAGAAAACATAAAATTAGCGAATCAGATTTTTTGATGAAAACATAAACTTCTCCTTTGAGAATTTAAAATTCATTAGTTAAATCAACTAATTACCTGTCATAAGAATTAGTTGCATTATCAGTCTTATAAAATTCACTACTATTACTCGAAGATTCTCCAGAGAAATAGTCGAATAAAATTTGATGTCCTAGTTTTATACTATCCTTGAAACTATGTTCTATCGCCTGCTTCACTAATTGGTTCTTGAAACTAACACAGTCCCTCTTGTGTAAGAAAAATGGTTCCATCCTTCTGTACAACTTAGTCCAGAACACAGAAGCGGCATCATAAGCTGAAGTAAAATAAATCATAGACTAGTTCTCAGTTTTATTTTGCTTTATAACTTACTTTGTTTTTGGGTCCCCTTCAACTTATCACAACCAGTCAGTAAGTCTAAGATTTCCGTCTCCAGCAAACCTGCTCTCGATGCAACCAGTAACGCCAAAACATTAGCGACATCGAACTCCAAAAATTCCTTGGCTAATTTTGTGATGAACGATACTACCTTATCGTAAATGAGCTTGGGTTGGTCTTCAGTTTTTGCAAACTCATCCTGACTCTAAAAATGATAATAGTCAGATAAGTACAAACTAGTTGGTATTGGTATTTTGCCTTGAGGCAAGTAATATGAACTTCCCGATATGTGTAAAGAATCGATTTAATCAATGAAAAATAAATTAATTTATGAGTTTTTCGGAGTATTTTCTAAAAGCAAATTTTCAAAAATCAACAATTTTTATATTTGAACCAGTTTCTGTTGGATTTTAATGGTTTAGTATGTTCATCAAGAATAAGTACTCTATCGTTGTACCAAGTAAATCGTCTAATTTTGAGAGTTTTCTTAATAACGTGATTTTACCTATTGGCACTTACAATATCTAAATATTCTTTATTAAAAACGGGCGCCAGCGCGCGTTTTCCTAAATCTCCAATGGACAAAAAGCACTTATCGTCCAACCGATTCTTCAAACTGTCATAAAATCTACATTGGTCATCCTGGTCACCAATTTTGCTGGTGTTGTGCGTAGCGCTTATTATTATTTTAACATTCGTTGGCAAGGTTTGAGGTATCCAAGACACGTCTACGGGCTGGTGCCTGTCCAGACCATCGAGGATAATCAGAAGTGGCTTCCTGGTGCTTTGCAGAGACGTTGTGATGATGGTCGAGTAAGACTGTAAATCCTGGAAAAAAAATAATGGATTAGAATTTGGTCGCCTAAATTGATAATATTTTTTTTATATATCTTTACGTTTCAAAAGTTTCTGAACATTTTGGCATTCTTTAGAAAAAAATTGATGTGTGTGTGTGCAGATACCAATTTTCGTCAACGATTTCGGGAACACGGATCAACCGATTTGAATAATTTAAAAAACATTCAATTCGTATTGACAAGAAGACGTGCTGATTAGTTTTTGGCAAAGGCAGGTCGAACCGTTTCGGAGATAAGCAGCAAAAAGTGCCACAAATGGTAACTAATATTTTGAGATAACGGAGCGTCCAACTTGTATGATTAACTTGTATGACAAAAATGATCATTAGTAATATGCACTAGGGTGGTCCTTAATATGGACATTTCGAATTTCTTTGCGCCCAAAGGCTCAAATGCTTCCAAATTAATGAAAAAAATCATCTGAAAGTTTTAGCGTTTAATATTAACATTTAGATAGTCCGCAATTCAATTAAAAGTTTCGTATATTTATTTCTAACATATGTCATTAAGTAAATTCTTGCGTCATCTGTGATAGTATTTATGAACTCAAATATTAGCTCTCCTTCCTTGGAATCGAAGAAATTCGAAAATGTCCATATTAAGGACTACCCTAATATGCTCATCAAATTATCATACATTTTATAAACATTTTAATGATAAGAAAAAAATTTATTTACTTTTGTGTTCTGTACCAATTTTTATCCCTTATATTGCGACGAGGCGCCCACGCGCTTCTATATTTATTTTCTACGCAGCTAAGGTATTGCAAATGCTTTGGAAAACAGTTCAAAATTTTTAAAATATATCAAAAAATAAAAAAAAAATTGTTTCAAAAAGGTCAACTTTTTTCAAAAATTTCAAAATTACTTAAAAATCTAATTTTTTCAAAGTCGTTTTTTAATAATTTAGTTTTCAGTACGGGAAGTTCCAGTAATTTGCCTATATTTCGTTTCACCACCATAATATGCACATCAAATTATCATATAATTTATAAACATTTTAATAATAAGAACAAATTTTGTCTACTTTTTTATGAGTTGCTTGTTTATCTGTTATACTGCGACGCAGCGCACTCGCGCTTCTATATTTCGTTTCTACGCAGCTAGCGTATTCCAAAATATTTCAAATCATAGTAGTTCCAAATTTCCAAAATATTTCAAATTAAAAAAAAAATCAATTTTTTTCAAAAAAGTCAACTGTTTTCAAAAATTTCAAAATTTCTCAAAAATTTACTTCTTTCTAAGTTGTTTTTCAATAATTAAGTTTTCAGCATGGGAAGTTCCAGTAATTTGCCTATATTTCATTTCAACGCAGCTAGCGTATTGCAAATGCTTTGAAAAACAATTCAAAATTTCCAAAATATTTCAAATTATAAAAAATTCCTCAAGAATCTATTTTTTTTTTCAAATTTTTGCAATTTTTACTAATTTAGTTTTATTTTAATAATTTGCCTTAAGGCAAGTGCCATGCTCCACTAGTTCTTACATGTTTACAAGAAGTAGCCTCTCCGTCCTGCAAAATCTTACACCGATCAGCAACATCCTCCAAAACCTGCACCAAACTCCCATTCGAGTACAAATCCTCAAACCTGCACACCAAATTACCATCGACTGGCCAAAATTCACTACCAGCTACCACTTTTTGCACAACCAGTTTCAACAAAACACTTTTACCACTAAAACTACCTCCGCAAACCACCAAAGGATGATTGGCATCACCCTTCAAGTATTTCAAAATCTTTTGCAAATCTTCCGAGTCTGATGCGTCTAATGAATCTTCTGGTATTTGTTTTTCGATGTTGTTAAATATTGATGCACTTATACCTAGTGAAGGTTTGGCCAGACAGGTTTGACCATGATCCTGGATCAAGGATGCAATAGGATTGGTTAAGGCAGTGAGAAGTTGTGCGCTGATTTGTTGAACGACGTTCGCAGGATCGTGGTTGTCCGACGGTTTCGGTGAGTGTTTAAGAATGTTCTTTTCTGGTACTTGTTTCTACAAAAAATATAGAAAAATTATCAAATCTTCTTATATATATAAATGAATCGCAAAATGCGTTGGTAAGCGCATAAATCAACAACGCCTGGACCAATTTGGTCAATTCTTTTCTTAAAATGTTCGTTGAAGTCTAAGGATGGTTCTTACGGCGAGACAAAATAGAATAATTGCCAGGAAAACACTAAAAACAGCTCTTTTCTTTTTCTCATACAAACGTTTTCTAACTAAAATGTAGAATTAATTTGAGCTTTTATTGCTATTATATAAAGTTTATATTAAATTACAAGCACTCACTGTATACTACTTCTGAACGTTTATGGGGATTTTGATAAATCTTTCTGAAGTTTAAGGAAATTTTCTAGGATGTGATTATAAAGTACTGGGATGAATGTGCAATATTGTAGAAATAAATGAAAAAAATATAAAAAACGACATGTTATTGTTTGCATTGAAAACAAATGAAAACTATCATCTGCCAAAAATTTCAATTTACTTATGAACCTAAACAATATTAGAGTATGTATAATAAATTTATGATTATGAATAAGTAAAAAGAAATGTCAACTATTCTTATAAATTTAAAAAAAAGGACTCTACTGACGAGCAAACTGATTTCTGAAAACATTTTTATAAATTTCAAGGGAAAAGGGACTCTTCTTACGAGCAAACTGATTTCTGAAGATTTTTTTTATAATTTTCAAAACAAAAAGCGATTACTGACTAGGAAACTTATTTTCGAAGCAAAAACAGACTCTACTCTAATTTCCGAAGGAGTGCTTATATTAGTATATGTATAATAAATTCATGATTATGAATAAGTAAAATGAAAAGTCTACATTATTATTGCCAAAAAGCAGCTGAGATGTGCCAGAACTTAAAATAATATAACATACAGTATATGTATGGCAGATCGAATGATACACATATGAACAGGATATGACAAATTAATTCACTTAAAATATGAATCAGGACCTTTAATACGATGCATGCGAAAAATACGAGCGCACGCCTTAGCAGGCGCCAACACAAGATTCGGATATTAAATTTTCAATATAGTTTTTTTTTCAATATATAATTTTTTTGCATATTTTACTAATCTTTCCACAATATTTTTAAAATTTGTAAAAATTTCACTTTATAACAACAAATGAGAAAGTAAAGATGAATACATACAATTCGGCTCTGACGATATCGATTAGGAGAACTTTAATATGCAATTTTGGATATCTTAAATAATAAAAAATTAAACTAATTTAATCCAACATGAAATACCAGTGTTATGTTATGGTTATGTTTATGTCATACCGTTTAAAATACTTCAATTTCCAATATTAGTGTGGGAATTGAGACCCATCATTTTACTTAAAGCAGTTCTACAATTAACATCGCTCATATTGTAAAATGTTATGCATTTTGGCGTGAAGAGTAATTTAAAAAACAATAATTATTATTTTTAGGTAAACGGTAAATATTAGTATATTATATTAAAAAATTGTGGAAATGGGTACAGGACAACGTCTGTCGGGTCATCTAGTTGAATAAAAAAATGTTGATTTTACCCTTACCTTTAACTCTTGCACAATGCCCATAAGTTTCTTCTGAACTTCAGCATCCGCGTTAAACGGAGCAGTGCTCATTCTGTTCAACCAGATCATATTTTTCAACAAGTCTTCGTGATTCTTCATGACTTCGTTTAATAAATCTTCTAAAGCTGTTGTCAAATATTTCAAGACCTTATCTTGTGGCCATACAGCCGAAAGGTCTTTGATGAAGTCCTGCACATCACTTGGGGGATCACTTGACTTGAGATTCTGGAAATTGGAAGTAAATTTAGTAACCAGAAAAGTCACGATTCATGAAATTCTAATGTTGTCTACAATTGACTTCATCTTGATGGTTATTACCTGAAGTTCATACTTTGTCTCCTTGTCTTTGGTTACTTTCTGATACAGTTTTGACATCAATTCTTTACTCTTATCGTTTTCCAACTTTGACAAAGCTTCTTCAAAATCGGCAATTTCAATTGTAAATGGTACAAGTTGCTGTCCAAATGTGCTGTTCAGCAATAAAATTGGTACGAGGTAACATTGGTCTGAATGTCCTGTGAAAAAATATAAAAGATCGTAATCAGAAAATTAGATATCATATCTGGTTTGAGTATTTCAACGTTAAAAAGAATTGGAGACATTTTTGCTGCAGAGAAACTTAGTCACAGAGAAAATAAACTGAAGAAATTTTTCCTATTTTCCATTTATATTTTATTAACTTTTACTTACTTTTCAATTCCCTTTTCCTAGTTTCAGCAAACAATCTCGCCTGCACATTTGATACATCGTCACAATTCGTATCGACCAGATGAATTTCAAAGTCCTGCTTTGAAAATTTCAACCGAAGGCTCTTCAAAATGTTCTCGGCCAGCTCAGTCCTTTCCTGAACGGAATCTGAAATAAAAACCAGGAATAGTAAAGATCTATAAAAAACTCTGGATATTTTTTATATTTATTTTTAAATATATAGCCCACAGATTTCTTCCAAGAGGACTCAAAAATACAATTATTTTACATAATGAATAACAATTAAAATATATACAAATCACAATATATAGTCATTAACATAAAATGCTTAACATAAAATTACATATAATGCAGAATGTAACGATGTTATTTATATACAGAATAAGATAAAATAATGAGATATTTGAAAAGAAAATAAAAAGGTTAACTTGCGCAGATGAAGATTATTTGATTAGGTGAAGTGTTGTGAATATCTATTTCATTATTAATTAAGTTAAAGTTAGAGGACACAAGTAAAATAGGCGAATTTAAAAGAGAATTAGATTTAGGACTAGGATAATTGAAAAATAATTGTGAACGCATATTGGAACATTAAAAGATAGTTGGTTAAGAATAAGAGGACAGTCTATAGAATTATTGCAAAGTTTAAATAAGAACATAATTGTACAGATAAATCGACGTGAGGCAAGAGAAGGAATAACAAATTCTTTTAGTAAAGTGTTGTGGTCAAAGCCACGTTCAGGGTAAATTTTATATGTTTTATAATAAAGATAATTCAACAATTTTCGCTGAACCTTCACCTTTTTATAATCAAAATGTATTCGAACGCGCTTATGTAAAAAACTCTTAGTTTTTCTTAGTTATCTTGCACTTTGATATATTTAAATGTAATTTGTTATAGACACACCAGAGTGGAAAGAGACAAGTTGGGATTGTAATAATAAGCAGTCATCAACAGAATTCATTTTGAGATATAGTTTGAGATCATCTGCAAATAATAAATGTGGACAGCAAATAATTTCAGATATGTCATTAATAAAAATAATAAATAGTAGTGGACCAAGAATGAATCCCTGAGGAACACCTGAACTGATAATTTCAATATTGCTCAAGAATCCATTAAGATAGACAAACTGTTTACGATAATGAAGATAACTAACTATATAGTACCTTTTCCATCAGCACTCAAAACAAACAGCACAATTTTCTTAAGACGTCTTCTGCATTTATCAGCTCCTAATTTTCCTCGAAGGAGCAAAATTTGGGTTGGGTCCATATCTTGCAATTTTGGTGGCATTTCACTTAACACAACATTTTCTAGTTTGGTTCCAAATTCTTTGACAACTGGAGAGGGAGTTGATACTGTATCTGAAAATAAATGATAATAAAAAACATACAAAATTTAGTAATAAATTATAACAGAATTCTAGATAGTTCAGTTATCATAACTTTCTTCCTTGTTTTGTTTATATGTAAATTACGCCTCATCGTACAGCAAATACATAGACATTTTCACAGTTACACTAATTCAATCGAATAAATTATTATTACTAAATAGTAGTTTGTAGCAAGAAGATGAAAATTTAGGGCAGTATAACTACTTCCTTTTCCTCTTCTACTCACCACAAACATGACTGATCTCCTGCAACGCTTTCGGGCAATCCCCGATCCGGCCCTGCCGGATTCGCCGGATGACGTCACCTGGGGAATACGCCCCGTGACGTCAGAACCCTGTTGGGATGACGGTGCATGTTGCCCTTTCTTCTCGTCGACGTCATGGGATGTTTTGTGTCTGATTGGGGCTGCTGATGGCGATTTGACCTGAGAATTGAATAAATAAAAACAAGGAATTTTTTTTTGGAAAATTCTAGAGAAAAGGAAAGAAATTGGTAAGATAAGTTGATATGAAAGAGTGCAGTGTGTGGATATAAATTTATATATATATATATATATATATATATATATATATATATATATTATATATTATTTAATTATAGACCACACACGACTTAGTAAACATTATCGTAAACGAATCCTCAATCTAAATATACACGCAAACTCAAAACATTCTCGAGTTATTTAAGTTTTGAAACGCTTGTGATATAAATAACAAGTTTAAATATTAATTATGACATTTGATATTAAATATGTACATAAAAAAAATCACTTAAGAATTTCTGTATTCATATTACAAATCAGGAAATTTGAAAGTTTAGGAAATAAAATAATACCAAATCAAGAAAATTTCAAAATTTAGAGCTTGTAAAGTGAGGGGGGTTTTGACAATAAATTACGAAATATTACGTGGGGTATGGTAAGATATCACGTGTATTTATTTTTCAAAAAACATTTTCAAAAAAAATTCAAAAGTTATACAATTTTTTCTTGTAACTAAAAATGAACATGATGTTTGTTGGGGAGTAATTTTGAATATCACCAAGGGTGAGGGGGGGTCCAAAAATCCTTTAAAAATCGATCACGTGGTTAATGGACGCCCCTAATGAGTATAAAAATAGAATGAGTATAAAAATTTAATAGATACAAGAATTGAATTTGCAAAAAATGAAATTAGTAAGAAAATGTAGTAAATTTGAAAATTTAAACAGAAAAATATTCAATGAGTAGAAAAATCTAATGAGTTTAAAATTAATTCAACGAATTTAAAAACCCATCAAATAGAAAAAGTCAATGAATAGAAAAATCTAACTAGAATCAAATATCAAAGAACCGAATGCCAATCCAAAAACTAGAAGAGTCGAATTTACAAAAAAACAGATTTTCCAACAAGATTCAAATAGACTTTTTCAAATAGAGAATAAAAATCCAAGACAGGCAAAATATAATGAGAATAAAAATCCAATAAGACAAAATGCAATAAGAATAAAAATCCAATGAGAATATAAATCCCATGAGAGTAAAAATCCAATGAGTGCGAAAATCCAATAAGAATAAAAATCCAATGAGAATATAAATCCAATAAGAATATAAATCCAATGAGAGTAAGAAATCCAATGAGAGTAAAAAATGCAATATGAATAAAAATCCAATGAGAATGAAAATCCAAGGCAGGCAAAATCCAATTTGTCTATATATAATTCAATGAGAATATAAATCCAATGAAAACAAAATCCAATAAAGACAAAATCCAATTAGAATAAAAATCCAGTAATGATAAAATCCAATCAATATGATAAATAATGAGAAATATATGGAGAAATAATTAGAACAAAGTAGAAAAATTCAAGAACTAAAAAAGCAGAAGTAAAAAAATGCAAATCTATAAAATCTAAAAAAATGTTCTTTTAAAATATATTATATATATATATATATATATATATATATATTTGTAGAGTTTCGAACAAGAATCCAAAAATAATACAAAATAAAAAACAAGAAAAGTTTTAAAAAAACAATTTCTTTATTTAATTATTGTTTATTGTCGACGTTTCGGAACTAGGTACGTTCCATCTTCAGGACATCTGTCAAGAAACATGATCTTGATGAGATTTTAGCAAACAATATGTTTAGGAAAAGAAAATAGATTTTTCTTAAATAATGAATTAAATTGTAAAAAATATAATAATGTACAGAAATATGATAATATGTTCAAAATAAAAATGATAAAAATAAATGAGTGGATTATCAGAACAGGATATTAAACATAATAGAAAATTTTTTTGAAAGTTATGGAAATTTTTTAAGAAAAGGTTAATGACAAAGTTGAATTAATTACCTGTATGTTTGAATATTTGTTAGCACTTTTTCACTAAACAAGCTTTTTTAACACAAAATGATTTTGTGAGTTAATTTTCCGCCGAATAATTAGATTTTGTAAATCAAAATTACTAAAAAATTTGTCTTTTTTAAAATTATTATTTGAAAAAACCAAATAATATTGTTCTCTGGATGAAATGAAACTGGTGTGCCTTTTGTAACACGTGTAAACACTTGAACGAGAGATGTGAGATTGTATGTGTGTGTTTTTATATGTCGGGTGTGAATACTTAAATTGTTGATCTTAAAAGGAAGTCGATATTATTAATATCGACTTCCTTTTAAGATCAACAATTTAAGTATTCACACCCTGACATATAAAAACACACACATACAATCTCACATCTCTCGTTCAAGTGTTTACACGTGTTACAAAAGGCACACCAGTTTCATTTAGTTAATTTTCGAAAACCAATCGAACACATCCAGAGAACAATATTATTTGTGTTTTCAAATAATAATTTTAAAAAAGACAAATTTTTTTAGTAATTTTGATTTACAAAATCTAATTATTCGGCGGAAAATTAACTCACAAATCATTTTGTTAAAAAAGCTTGTTTAGTGAAAAAGTGCTAACAAATATTCAAACATACAGGTAATTAATTCAAAACTTGTCATTAACCTTTTCTTAAAAAATTTCCATAACTTTCAAAAAAATTTTCTATTATGTTTAATATCCTGTTCTGATAATCCACTCATTTATTTTTATCATTTTTATTTTGAACATATTATCATATTTCTGTACATTATTATATTTTTTACAATTTAATTCATTATTTAAGAAAAATCTATTTTGTTTTCCTAAACATATTGTTTGCTAAAATCTCATCAAGATCATGTTTCTTGACAGATGTCCTGAAGATGGAACGTACCTAGTTCCGAAACGTCGACAATAAACAAATAATTAAATAAAGAAATGTTTTTTTAAAAACTTTCTTGTTTTTTATTTTGTATTATTTTTGGATTCTTGTTCGAAACTCTACAAAATATACACAAATCCAAGACTCTACCATTCAATATATATATATATATATATATATATACATATTATGTATTTGCACACAAGTCCTCTATTGTGTTTTATAACAAACAATACATAATAAATGTCGTGTCGTTACGTAATAACAATTTTAATTGTTTCAACAATTAATTTTTATTACGTGTGTGGCCGTAATATGTTCGTCATATTAATTTTTAATTATGTATATATATATATATATATATATATATATATATTAAAATTGAAATATATTCTATAAATATTAAAAAAATCTACTAAAAATTATTTTTCAATAACAGTTTAAAATTTAGAAATTAAAAAATAGTTCATAATAAATTATCAAAAACACAGATGATTAAACTTTGGAAAGAAAAAGAGAAAAGTATAATTAAGAGAGATAATCAAAGCATTCTAGATCCTCTTCCCTTGAAGTAACGGCTAATAGAGTTTTCCATGATAAGAGTTAAACGGAGGTTCTGTCGGTATTATACCCAGGCGGTTTTGGGTCTGGCATGCACACACAAAACACCTAGTCTGGGATGCCTAAACGCAATAAAGCAATAAAATGCCGATGACCAAAATCAAACGCTTAAATGTCCAAACTATTATAATGGAAAACCTAAATTAAATCAATAACAAATTGAATCTGCCTTAACTTGAAACATTGAAATACATAGGTATATATGGTGAATAAATTAAGAAACTACATACAAAAATAGAACTTAGAATGCTTCCTTGAGGAATGCCTTTAAACAAAGCTTTTATGTATTTAGTATTGTCGTAAAGTGTTTATATACAGACTTTTGAAATTATTTTTGACGTGGAACATTACAATAAAA